CACACACACACACACACACACACACACACACGCACACAAAGGATTACAGGCCAATATCCCTGATTAATATTGATGCAAAAATTCTCAACAAAATATTAGCCAACTGAATTCAACAATGCATTAAAAAGATCATTCGTGACAAAGTGGGATAAATCCCACTTTGGGATGCAAGGGTAGTTCAACATATGCAAATCAATTAATGTGACACATCCTGTCAACAGAATGAAAGACAAAAACCTTATGATCATTTCAATTGATGCTGAAAAACCATTTGATAAAATTCAACATCCCGTCATGAACAAGAAGAAGAAAAACCTTCAAAAACTGGGTATAGAAGGAACGTAGCTCCACATAATAAAAACCACATATGGTTTTTACCAGTGAGGTGGCTCACACCTGTAATCCCAGCAGTTTGGGAGGCTGAGGCAGGTGGATCACCTGAGGCCAGGAGTTTGAGACCAGCCTGGCCAACATGGAGAAACCCTGTCTCCACTAAAAATACAAAAATTAGCTGGGTATGGTGGTGTGTTCCTGTAAGCCCAGCTACTCAGGAGGCTGAGGCTGGAGAATTGCTTGAACCTGGGAGGCGGAGGTTGCAGTGAGCTGAGATCACGCCACTGCACCCCAGCCTCAACAACAGAGCAAGACTCCATCTCAAAAATAAATAAATAAATAAATAAATAAATGAATAAACAAACCCCAAAACCACATATGACAGAACCACAGCTAGTATCTTACTGAATGGGGAAAACTGAAAGCCTTTCCTCTAAGATCTGAAGCACCTGAAAGATGCCCTCTCTCACGACTGTTATTCAACATCATACTGGAAGTTCTAGCCCCAGCCATCAGACAACAGGAAGAAATAAAAGGCATCCAAATTGGAAAGGAAGAAGTCAAATTATTCTTGTTTGCAGATGGTATGATTTTATATCTGGAAAAACCAGAAGGCTCCACAAAAAACTATTAGAATTGATAAACAAATTTAGTAAAGTTGCAGGATAAAAAGTTGACGTACAAAAATCAGTAGCATTTATATGCCAACAGTGAACAAACTGAAAAGGAAGTAAAAAGTAGTCTCATTTACAAAACACCTAGGAATTAACCAAAGAAGTGAAGGATCTCTATAATAAAAACTATTAAACACTGATGAAAGAAGTTGAGGAGGACCAAAAGATGGAAATATATTCCATGTTCATGGATTGGAAGAACCAATATTGTTAAAATGTGTATACTATCCAAAGCAATCTAGAGATTCAATGCAATCTGTATCAAAATACCAATGACATTCTTCACAGAAATAGAAAAAACAATGCTAAAATTTATATGGAACCAAAAAGGCCCAGAATAACCAAAACTATCCTAAGCAAACAAAAACAAAAACCATACAAAGCAAAACAAACAATAACAACAACAAAAAACAAACCCCAAACAAATAAAAACAAAAACAAAAAACCTGGAGGAAAATCACATTACCTGACTTCAAATTATACTATAGAGCTATAGAAACCAAAACAGCATGATACTGACATAAAAACAAACACATATACCAATGGAACAGAATACAGTACACACCTACAGTAAACTCATTTTCAACAAAGGTGTCAAGAGCATATGCTGGGGAAAAGATAGCCTCTTCAATAAATGATGCTGGGAAAGCTGGATATCCGTATGCAGAAGAATGAATCTAGACCCCTATGTGTCACCATAGACAAAATCAAATAAAAATGCATTAAATAATTAAATCTAAGACCTCAAAGTATAAAACTACCGCATAAAATTGGAAACTCTCCAGGACATTGGTTTTGGCAAATATTTCTTGAGCCATACCCCACAAGCACAGGCAACTGAAGCAAAAATGAACAAATGGGTTCACATCAAGTTAAAAAGCTTTTGCACACCAAAGGATACATTCATTAAAGTGAAGAGACAACCCACAGAATGGGAGAAATATTAGCAAACTACCCATCTTGCAAGGAGTTAATAACCAGAATATATGAGGAGCTCAAACAACTCTGTAGGAAAAAAATCTAATAATTTATTTAAAAATGTGCAAAATATTTGAATATACATTTCTCAAAAGAAGACATACAAATGGCAAACAGACGTATGAAAAGTGCTCAGAACTTCAATGGGATATTATCTCAGCCCAATCAAAATGGCTTATATCCAAAAGACAGGCAATAGCAAATGCTGGCAGGGATGTGGAGAAAAGGGAAGCCTTATACATTGTTGATGGGAATGTAAATTAGTACAACCACTATGGAGAACAGGTTGGAGGTTCCTCAAAAAACTAAAAATAGAACTACCATATGGTACAGCAATCCCACTGCTGGGTACATACCCCAAAGAAAGGAAATCAGTATATCAAAGGGATATCTGCACTTCCATGTTTGTTGCAGCACTGATCACACAACAGCCAAGATTTGGAAGCAACCTAAGTGTCCATCAACAGAAGAATGGATAAGAAAATGTGGTACATACACATGATGGAATACTATTCAGCCATGAAAAAGAATGAAGCTGGGCACAGTGGTTCATTCCTGTAATCCCAATACTTTGGGAGGCCTAGCCGGGTAGATTGCTTGAGCTCAGGAGTTTGAGATCAGACTGGAAAACATGGCAAAACTCCATCTCTATAAAAATACAAAAATTAAACAGGCTTGATGGTGCATGCCTGTAGCCCCAGTTACTTGGGATGCTGAGGTAGGAGGATCAATGGAGCCCAAGAGGTTGAGGCTGCAGTGCATCATGATCTTGCCACTGCACTCCAGCGTGGGCTACAGATTGAGGTCCTGTCTCAAAAAAAAAAAAAAAAAAAAAAAAAGAGAGAGAGAGAGATTTAGTCATTTGCAACAACATGGAAGGAACTGGAGATCGTTATGTTAAGTGAAATAATCCAGGTACCGAAAGACAAATATCACAGATTCTCACTTATTTGTGAGATCTAAAAATCAAAACAATTGAACCCATAGAGATAGATAGTATTAGGATTGTTACCAGAGGCTGGGAAGGAAGGCTTGATGGGCGTGAAGTGGGAGTGGTTAATGGGTACGAAAAAATATAATTAATGAATAAGCCATAATACTTGATAACACAACAGGGTGACTATAGTCAGTATTTATTTATTTATTTATTTATTTATTTATTTATTATTTGAGACGGAATTTCACTCTTGTTGCCCAGGCTAAAATGCAATGGTGCAATCTCGGCTCACTGCAACCTGCACCTCCTGGGTTTGAATGATTCTCCTGCCTCAGTCTCCTGAGTAGCTGGGATTACAGGCAAGCACCACCATGCCTGGCTAATTTTGTATTTTAGTAGAGACGGGTTTCTCCATGTTGGTCAGGCTGGTCTCGAACTCCCAACCTCAGATGATCCACCCGCCTTGGCCTCCCAAAGTGCTAGGATTAAGGCGTGAGCCACTGAGTCAGTCAGTAATAATTTAATTGTACATTTAAAAATAACTAAAAGAGTATAATTGGATTGTTTGTAACACAAAGGAAAAATGCTCAAGGGAATGGATACTCCGTTTTCCATGATGTAATTATTATGCATTGTGTGCCTGTATCAAAACATTTTATGTACCCATGAATATATATACCTTCTATGTACCCACAAAAATTAAGAATTAAAAAAAGCTTTGATTAGTCAAATCTCATATGAAATTTAATTAGGATAGCCTTAGGATCCACACAGTAAGTGCATAGATATGGGATGACAAGATTTAGTAGCAAATGTGAAAAACTTCAGTGTTTTAGGCTGTAATGTAGTTTTGTGATGAAGTCACATGCAGTCATAGTTTGCATTCATTGACAAATACCATCTTTTTTTTCTGGCTGATCTGATTATATCACACCTCAGATATTATATTCACATCCGGGTGTCCAACCCCAGGAGGAGCTCTAACAAATTAGAGACTATTTGGAAGAAAGCAGTGAAGATGACTAAGCATAGTACTTCAAAACTATGTCATGTAAGGTAGAGTTGAAAGGACTGGGGATGTGTATCTGAGGGAAAAGCAGGCCCAGGGGATTAAACTGTATTCTAATATTTGTCTGTCTCTCAAACAATTGAGAGCTAGATTGTGCTTGGATGGTTCCCGAAGTTTGAATTGAGACTGGTGGATGAAAGTTGTTAGATTCAATAATAAAGAAACAAGCAAAAATTCCAGGACTGGAAGACGTTCAAACAGAAACTGGTTGAGTTTATATGTATTCAAGTTCTCCACTCCTGCCCATGTTTCAGCCAGTTGATGACCACTTTCTGGAAATACTGTACAGGAAATTCAGATTACCAAGATGGTTGGATGGAATGCTCTGTATTCATTGAACTTTCTTTATTCTTCATTACTTCATCACCCAAGAAGTTGCAATAGCTCCTTCCTTACTACTGTATCAAACCTAAACCCTACCTAACATAAGAAAATTAACTTCCTTTTATCTGGCTACCTTCTACTTATTCAACCATAGCTTTTCCCAAGGAGGGCCTCCCTGATTTCTTCCTTAAATCTAATCTCAAAAAAATATAGAGAAACCCACAGAAAACAATATCTTTACATGAATGATTACCATGAATTCTGCATAAGTTTATTCTGATAAACTGATTAAAACAAAAATATAAAGCACTACAGTTCTTTTTAGCTTGTGGTTGTAACTAGCAGTCATGCCAAACTTTAAGGATATAAGGGTAAGTTTTATTACAAATACCAATAAAGAAGAGTGCACTTATTGGGGGGAAATATTATATTTATTCTTCAGTAATTTTAAGGTAATAAATAAAAATATTGTAAATAAACATGGTACTAATATTTTTATTGTTATATAGGTATATATGTAAAATTTAGGAATGGATTCAGATGAAACTATCACTTTACTTTTAGCATTCTGTTATAAAATATACATAGAAATCTGGAGTTTAAATATTAGATGACTCACTAAATATGAGAGAAAGATCTAAATCTCGTGTTGCATCTTACACTTACACTTTATATTTTCTTAAAGGCAAAATCATCAGAATTCTTGCAAATTGAAGGAAAAGAAGTTAAGCAAATGCAGAAACGTGTATCACTGAGACCAAGAAAGTCTTCAAAACCTCTTTGTGATAAAAAACTACGTGAAAAGTAATTTTCTTACATTTATAATTTTCCTATTGGAAGAGGAGTTATTCAGTAGCATTGAGACGTGAAAATACATTTTTATAAAAGAAAACTAAATGTTTTAGAAATTCAGATATGAGAGCTAAGTTAAACCTCACAGGAAAAGTTGGTGACAGATTTTACAGTTAGTGCTATACTTTATGCTTTTTTCTTTTCCTATTTTTGACAAATGTGCCTACTTTCATGATGTAACAATAACTGGAATAAAAATAACTCCTTGTGAGACTAAAGAAAATTAAATGTTAGCATGTTAGATTTGATATTTTTGGTCACTGTAATGCCTGATTTGGATCAATTGCTTATTATATTGGTTAATTTTGTTATGATAAAATAAAAAACAAGCCAACACAAAATGTCCATAAGCCATCTGTTTGGTAATTTAGATGGCATTATTTTTCTCTACTATTAATATCATGCTTCATCCTCACATCCATAATTTTAATGGAGTTTCTTGTTACACAGGAATACAACCACAATTTTAAATAATAGTGTGGAAATGCAATTTAGATTATGATTTACGTTTTGCCAGTCACCTTGTTGATACTCAGATTTTCTCCTTATTTCACCACTAAGTTTTTATGGGTTGGTTTCTTCTAGATTCTTCTTCATTTAACTCTTAATGGGGGTTTGAAGAAGCTTTAATTATTAGCTTTTGTTGTTTCTTAGGGAACGGAAAGGTATGCTGGACATGGAAGACAACCTTTTTATGGCTAGCTCAAACTTTGTAAATGGATATTACTCACAATTTAGTAGCTAAGAATAGACTCATGGGAAAAGAATTCCAAAGTTTATGAAACAGTCAAATTGGCATTTAAGTGACCCTGTACATACCATTGCTTATCTGCATTGCTTTAAGCTCATTTAGTTAGCAAGATTATGTATTAAAACAAATAGTGACAGCAGACAACAAGTATTTTACCTTCAATAAATAGTTACTGTCAGATTATCAATGAAGCAGAAACTGCTTGATTTTTTTTCTAAAAAACCTTTTGCATTTAGTGCATTAAGCAGAGTAGTATGGCCACACACAGAGTCAGAGTCTTTTCTTTTTTATGTCTTAGTGTTTCAAAGAATGACAAATAGTCCTGTTTAAGAAGAGTGTGCTATAAAAACACACAACCTTTCCTGGGCATGCCAAAAATATTTGTAGATCTTATTGATATATATATATATATATATATAGTACTGCTTTAATTCATTAAAACAAAAATTAGAAATTTTTATTAGAGAGAAATAGAATGAGATGCAGAGGAATAAAAGTCTGATATTTTAAAAAATTATATAGTAAAAAAGAACCTTGGAAAAATGTTTCTGAAAGTCTTTTATTTACTGTTCCTTTTTCTTTAATCAATTTTCAAGCTAAATTTTCTCACTAGCCCTCAAATTAAATTGTATTCTTGGGAATTCAAACATCTATTGCAGCATATTGTTATTTAGGTCAATAACCAAGAGAAATATATTTGCTTAATGTTAATAGACTATAATGGGCACATAGGAATTCAGATTTGTTGTGATGCTTTTTAAAGAAAATATAAAAATCAGTAATGTAATCTCAAACACATTCTACTAGCCAGGACCTGTCTCAGGTAGAATGATGGTGTAGGTGAGCTTGACATCAGAGCACACCTTTTTTTTCCACCTCTATTTTAAAAGCCCTTTGTTAGGAGTCCAGAGTACCTGGGAGCCCTGGCTTTCTGGACACCCCCTTTCACTCCTCCAGTTAGGCCTCTTTGTCTCAGGCATTTCCAAATGTTTAGACTTACCTCTCTTTTCCTCTTTCACATGAACATATTTCATATCCTATTTGTGTTAGGCCCTATGCTTTTTTGGAAATGCCATAGACCACTCTCTATTAATGATTCAATAGTGTACATATGGTGCCTGGCAATGGGTTAGGTGTTGTGTAGTGCAAAATAATAGTAACAACCTTAAAAATAAACCATTTCTTGAGATATTTCAACAGACTGGGAATGACACATCTTCTATTTTTATCAGTTCTTATAAAGGCAAGGGTTAGGGATTTTTATCCTCATTTATCAGAAGACTTTTAAAGAAGTCAGTAATACAGTTGGCAAGTATTAGAACCAAGATCCTGATCCAGGCCCAGCCAACTCCAAAGTCTATATTCTTTACACCATGCTAATCTCTGAATCAGTCCCAGCCATATGAAGTGGTCAGTGGACAGACCAGCATTAACCCTCTAGATAAAGGGTCAAAATGGGTGACACAAGAGTAGAGCAGCTTACAAAAAAAGACAGTTTGTAAAAAAGAAAAAAAGATAAACTTGGCAGATAAGTCTGTCCTTGAGATCTTGTTTGAAGAATATTTAGACGTGGACAAAAGGGTAGACAGCACTGTATCCATAACTGAAAGAACTGACAGGTCTAACCCTGTGATTTGTCCTGGAAACTGATGAGAATAACTAACTTCTGCCAGGTGAGACACACTGTTCTAAATGCATTCATTCTTCCTTCTTAAAGCAACTGTATCCAGGACAAGGTATAGAGAAATTAATTGACTTGCTTATGACCAAGTGAGAATTGTAAACAGTGTTTGAACCCAGGCAGTCTGACTCCAGAGTCTGTACTCTTAATCACTATGCTAGAAGTAAGTCCAAAGGCTAGGAGCCTTGAAACATAGAGAAAGGAAGTTAGACAAATGCAGTAAGCAACAACCAATCAATGTGCTGAGTAAAGGAGCACTTAAAGGAGATCGATCTGGTAGAATTTTGCAGAGGGGAATAGACAGAGGCTGCAGTGCTCAACCCAACTGGCGAAGGACTGCCTGTGCAGGCTGAGGTGATGAAGGGTATGCTGGCAGTGAGGATGCAGAAGGAGCACATCTGAGCAATCCTGTGCAGGGGAGAAACTGTTTTGCATTGGACGTGCAGGTGAAAGAGAGAGGGGTCAAAGATGTTTTCTGTCTCCAAAATGAGAAATCTAGTTAAGGTAGTGATATTGGAAGTAAGATTTGGGAGCTCTCAGCACAGAGGTAATAGCTGAAACACTAAAGATGATTTTTCCAATGTACAAAGAAAAGTTCAAACCTCAGAAGCCACACCCAGTTCAGAAACTGGAGAAGGAAAACCAATGACTAAGTCAGATTATGATGAATTTGAGGGGTAGATGGAAATCTGGGATATTGCAGTTTTAAAGGCCCGTAAAGGAAGAGCAATTTCAACAAGTCATTCATATTCTCAGCTGTATTTTGGGGTTCAGAAGAGAACATGATCTAAAGATCTAAAGCTGATTGGATTGGATTGGATTGGATGAAAAGAAGGTCATTTTGTTATGTAAGCTTTAATAGGAAGGTAGGGATGGAGTACTTCTGGAGAAGGACCACTTCCACCCAGAAGTCACTAATAGGCAAGAAGTTTGGTCAATAGCCAGTAATGTTGTGTGTGGATCCCAGTGGTTACCCACTAATTTTGTGACCTACCCAAAATAAGGATAATTATACCTCCAATACAGCTTCATCGTGGGAATTAGAGAAAATGTGTGTAGCGGACCTAGCGCAGAATCTGTCATATAGTAGGTGCTCAATAATTATTTGTTGATTGGATGACAGGTGGCACTGGGGATTAAGAAAGCAGATTTTGGGTTGGGCGCAGTGGCTTACGCCTGTAATCCCAGCACTTTGGGAGGCCAAGGCGGGTGGATCACTTGAGGTCAGGAGTCTGAGACCAGCCTTGCCAACATAGGGAAACCCCATCTCTACTAAAAACACAAACATTAGCTGGGCGTGGTGACACAGGCCTGTAGTCCCAGCTACTTAGGAGGCTGAGGCAGGAGAATCGCTTGAACGTGGGAGGTGGAGGTTGCAGTGAGCCGAGATTGTGCCACTGCACTCCAGCCTGAGACTGGGTGACAGAGTGAGACTCCGTCTCAAAAACAAAAAACAAAAAACAAAAACAAAAAGCAGATTTTCATGTCATCCTCTCTACTTAGGAAAGAAAGGAGAGACATACAAGTCCCAGCAGAGTGGGAAGGGAGATACCACACTAACTTAGAGAGACCCAGAGTTCTATCAATGCTAGTTAATGGATAATGTCCTTCCTATATTGTTCCACTTCTTTAGGGACATTAGCGTTTGAGCAGAGTAGCAAAGGGGTAATACGTGATGGCTGGATATGGTTTCCACAGACTGAGTTTCAGAATTCAGGAAAGAAGAGGTTGGGATGAGATTATGATAAAGAGTGTGTTTTTAGACTTGATCCTGAGATGCCTGTAGACTGTAGTCTGTAGAGGTGTAGGTTGAGCTGTTCAGCAGGCAGTTAGATACAAGTTTAAAGCTCTAGACAATGGCCTGAGATTGTGATAATAAATTTGTTATATACCATTATTATAGTTTTAAATCAGATCTCCTATATTTATATATGTCTTTAGAACCTGAACTAAATTGTCAGTATAAATGTACTTTATATCTAAAGGCCACAAAATGATGAAAGAAGCCCACTTTCTTTTTTCTGTTGCAGAATTCCACGAGACTACTCCATGCCGCACCTTCATGATTTGTGCGCCACCATCCCAGCCCGGGAACTGCCCATTGACTTGCGCCTGGCTTCTCGAGTGTATCACACTGCTAACAGGAAAGGCCACAATACCTTGCTTGGAAAATTTGGAACCTCTTTCTTAGATGATCACTTTACAGATGAAGAACAAGCAGATAGGTAAGAGTTCCACTGGTAATTTGATTTTAAACTGAATGTAAACTATCACATAAATCCTGCCTTTGAGTTCTAGATTTTAAAGACTTGATTCTGTTCTTGGACACTAAAGAGAAGGGAGCAGTTTTTGTTTTTTTTTTTTCTGCCACTTCCTCAGGTATACAGTCTAGGTCTGTGTCTCCATTTCCTGATGATATTAACATGAACCCATTCCCAATTGTAAGGTAACGCTAGTATTCCCAGAGTGTTACATACATGATCTCATTTGTTTGTCATCACAACTCTGGAGTACAAATGTGGAAATTGAAAGTAATAAAATTTAAGCAATTAGCTACACATAGACAATTAAAAAAATCACAGATTTGACACTTGGACCCAGTCATTTGAACTAGATTTCACCATCATTGGGCATACTTGGGTCCAGGGATCACATACAAAAGTCATTGCTCTTGGAGTTCGTTCCCCTTCTTGGGTCTCACTTTCCTTTGGAATCCGCATATTCTTTTGTGGAGAGTGTATAATTTACAGCATCCTCAAAAGAAAGGAGAAAAGGGAAGGAACCTAATATTTATGCAGCAATAACTCTATTCTGAGCACTGTGCTGTGTGCTTTGCATATGTTTCCTATTTAAATCTTCAACTGTAAGGGAGAAGTTGTAATTTCTGTTTTATTCATGAAGAAATTTAGGGTTCGTGATATCAGGTTACTTGCTGAAGTTCTTATCTCTCGATAGTGACTAGAATCCAGGTTTGTCTAACTCAGTTTTTATCAGCCTTTTCATTATCACCCACTTAAAGAGAATTTTAAGGCTTTTTTTTTTTTTCTAATCACCCCTCCTGATTAAATTTTAATGTGCTAGATATACTGTATATCTGTTTATATATTATATGAATGTATGTCCTTTATAAATAAAAAGAGTAAGCTTTAATCACTCTGTGCTCCCCCCACCCCAAGCACCAATTTTCACCTCCAGGGAGGGATATTACCTACCCATTGAGTATGCTTGCTCTACAGTCTCTTGCCTTTCAGAAGCCTTGGTAAAAATACTGAAAAATGTACTACATGTTTTAAAACTATTGCAAATATTAAATATTAAGTTAAATGGAAACTTTTTTAGTATTATAATTTAACTATCCTAGGTATATGAGAATACTATTCTAAAATATTACTTTTAATGACACTGTCACAAAATCATTAGTAACCATACTTTCCATGGCATATTTTGAATGCGTTTTCTCAAACTTGACTTCTAGTAAAAATGGCAACACTACTGCATTATTTCATGAATTAAAAATTACCTGGTTTCCCAGTGATTAGCAATCACAATTAGTTTCTATTTGAATCCCTAAAAGAAGGTCACTTTTATGTTTGTTTTCTATGTAGGCAAAAAAAATTTTAGGATTTATTTATCAATCATAATTTTATACATCTAAAGTCTTTTAGTTTTGCTTTATCAAATTAAATTCTTGAAAAAAATTGTGTATGAAGAATTTTTGAAATTTCAGAACTGCTCCAGTATCTCCAGTAGAAAACAGCAGTTCAGCATGCCATTCTTTGGAATGTATGTTAAAGCCTAAAGCTGGGAGTAGAAAATAAATACATAAACATAATCTAGTAGTCATGAAACTCTACCATTTTGAGTCATTCCCATTAGCACTACGCAAGCCAAGCATCATTTGGAGGACTTATAGCTTCAATTATTCATGCAAAGTGTTAGAAATGCTGGTTTCTTTCCAATTCTGAAAATATTTTTCTTCAAGTAGACCTCACTTTCTTTTTCCGAGAGTCAATAAATGTTCTATTTGATGAGGATAATTCTTGGCAATTTGTTCCTAAGTACTAAATAAGAAGTTAATTTAAGTACTGAATATTTAATTCTCCAGCATCTATCTCTTGAGGATTACCTTGCTAAACATAGCTTAACCTTTTCAAAATATATCTGTCTGCTGAGCCTACAAGTTCAGAGAAATGTATAATTTTTTTCTGCGCTACCAAGTGTTCTCAAGTAAGGTAACTGTAAACAAAATGAATACCCTTTCATCGGATGGCTTTTTGCAATTTTTTGTGCAATGATCAGTTAACTTCAAAGGTAGTAATACTTGTGGTTGTATGGTTTTAATGTTTCCTGATTTTGTTAATCATTATTTATGGCAAATACCAAGACTATTTTAATGGAATTGGAAGGGTATATACTTAAGTTTATTTGAAGTATAGTGTAGTGTTCAAACTTAACGCTTAGTTTGCTAAAGAGTAATTATGATGAGAACTATACAAATATCTTGTATTGGCCATATTTTTGCTTTAAAAATGATTTGTATATTATATAGAGAAGTTTATAGACATTTAGTTCAAAGTTTTGGTATGGGATTTTATATTTGAGGCTTTAAAGTAGGGGAAATCATTAAAGGTATTTAAAGACTTAGATTAATGTTAACAACTTGGTGAATAGCCTTTCAGACATCTCTTGTATATGTACGTGTTTAAACCACCCATGACATTCTATAGCCTGAGTTTCTTCACTCAAGATTGTTTGTGAACATTTAAATTATTTCATGATATTTACTGCTTTATACAAAAATTTTTTAATAGAGACAGGGTCTTGCTCTATTGCCTAGGCTGGTGTGCAATGGCATAATCATAGCTTACTGTAACCTTGAACTCCTGGGCTCCTCCCACTTCAGCCTCCTGAGTAGCACTAGGCTAATTATTATTATTTGTTTATTTTTGTAGACATAGAGTCTCACTATGTTGACCAGGCTGGTCTCAAACTCCTAGCCTTAAATGATCCTCTTGCACCAGCCTCCTAAAATAATAGGATTACAGGTGTGAGCCACTGTGCCTGGCCAGATAGTTACTGCTATAACCAAGCTATGGTGACACTGTTTATGCCAATTTATGACACTGTTCTTTTCCTTACACCCTTGCCAAACTATGATTGTTGCTCTTGTTGAATTTTTTCTAATATTTTTTTATTTTTATTCATTTCTTGTAAGGTTGAACATATTTTTAGATGTCTCTTGGTTATTTGCTTTTTTCCTTTTGAGAATTACTAGATCACATTTTGTGGAGTTGTCATTTATCTCTTTTGTATTGTTTTGTGAATGATCTTTTTATATTAAAAATTTTAGTTATTTGCCATATATGTTATAGATATTTTTTCAATTTGTTGCTTGCTTTTCAGTTTTGTTTTTGGTGTTTTATGCTATCAGAAATGTTTTAATGTAGCAATTTTTTAATGTGTTCTAGTCTTGATGCTAATCTTAGAAAGGGTGTTTATACATTTACATTTTAAGGTATTCTCTCATATTTTCTTCTAGTAACTTTGTGGTTTCCTTTGGAAAAAAATTAAATATTTAATCCATTTGTAATTTATTTTGATAAGAACAATTTTAAAATACAATTTATTCAATGAATCTTCTTTTCCTTACTGTTTTGAAATGCTAACTTTCAAATACCTTAAATTCCGACATGTTATTGAGTCTATTTATGGATTTCTGTTCCATTTCACTGATTTGTCTATCTAAAACTACTTGCGTATTTCCTTGATTCACCATCAATAGAGAGTTGGTGGCAAAAATCCTGTCCTACAAACATTGGCTGACCTTTTCAAATCAGGCACCCCTTATAGCCAGCTCTTGGGTGGTGAGCAATGCCAGGCTATAAATCCCAGACTTAACCCGCTAGTTGACTTCAAATTAAAAAAGAAATTCCTAGTCAATTTTTGGAAAATATGTGGACAGATCATTAGTTTTATACATTAGAACAGCAGCAACAACAACAGAAAAACTAAAGGTTAAGTGTCAAAATTCAATGTTTAATTTCATTTTTGATTATTTTATTACAAAAAACAATAAAAATATTTTAACAAATATACAAAAACATGCAAGCAAATGTGAAAATGAAAAACAATTAAAATCTTGCCATTTATAGATAACACTGTTAAACATTCTTAAATATAGGATTCCAGAGTTTTCCTTTTGCAAATAAATCATATAGAACAAAACTAGAATAATACTATATGCATAATGTTTTGTAACCTAACTTTTAAAAACTTATGTGTAAACATCTTTCCATGTCAATAAATATTGATCCGAGTGATCAAATGATATGCCTAACTCGGTAGTAGGCACAGAGGTAGGCACTAGAGAGGCATCTGCAAACAAGAGAAATATAATCACTGCCTTCAGGGAACCTGGAGACCAGTGAAAAGAAAGGTGAATTAATTACTGTGAATGCGACAATTAATATAGAGTTGTGCAGAGTGCTATGGAAACATGTAAGAGGAGTCCCTGATTATTTAGGGAGGTTTGAGGAAATGATACTTAAATTGAAACCTGAAAGATGGATAGAAGATAGGAAGGAGGAGGGGAAAGAATGTTTTAGGTCTTTGGTACTCAAAGTATAGTCCACAAACTAGCGGCATCACCATCACCTGGGAACTTGTTAGAAATGCAGGAAATTTGTATACACTTTGAAGTTTGAGTTCATGCTGTGGACAATTGGAATCCATCTGAGAACTGGAAATAAGTCCAGTATTAGAGAACAGGAAGAGCAGTGATACATTTGAAGCTAGAGCGGAGGCAGGATTTTACAGTTACCCCGTATGTGTATGTGAGGGCACACGTGAGTGCTTGGGGGAGGGATTCTTAGTCACAGTGAATTGGGAAAGCATTGATAGGTTTTCTGAGGAAGAATGACATGATCAGGTTTGCTTTAAGATATCACAGTCCTTGTCTTCTCAATTGTGTTTGACACAGTTGATCACTTACTTTTCCAGAAGTCACATTTATCCCTTGGCCTTAGGGACCACTCCTTTCTTGGCTATCTTCCTGCTTCCTTGGCTATGACTTCTCAGTCCCTCCTCCTGGTGTCTCCTCATCTCGACTTCTCAACATTGGACTGCCCAGGCTTAGCAAGGTGATCTTATCCAGGACCATGGCTTTAAATGCCATTTATATGCTGATGACTATCAATTGGTAAGATAAATGCATGAGGATGTTCAT